AATGGCCTTGCTTTGCGTTTCCAGATAAAAGAACCATGAAGGCAAGAGTGGATTTTCTGGGTTTTCTTTGCTGGAAATGTTATGCTTTTTAAGCTCAGAAGGTGGAGAAAAGGTGAGGAGTGACGGAGAAGGTCAGCACCCTAGAGATTCAGATGGAAATACAGAGTGTTAAATTGGAGCAGAGAGAAACAAACAAGTATAAATGGTAGTAGTGAGAACCATACATTTATCCGGGAAGACCTCTGCGCACCGTGTAAAAGAACGTGGAAGGATGCAAGCCGAGGCTGAGAATTACTTAATAAAGCTATTTAGCGAGAAATTATGGAAATTACACATGACCTACAAATACATGACAATGTGAAGACTTTCTGGTAATCAAAAGAATATTAAAGCCACAATGAAATATCATGTTTTGCTTATCAAATTTGCACGGTTTAAAAATGATAATAGTGTCTGGGAGCATCTGGCAAAATGGGATATCTAATAAAAAGCTGGTAGGGAAGTAAATTGGTACAACCTTTATAGACAGCAATTTGACAAAGTACATAAAAAAACTATTAACAGTCAATGGCCACATATTCATTTCTAAAGAGTTGTGTCAACACTTAAAAATAAAGATGTTCAGCACTGTTTTACTGGTAATTAATATGAAAAGCAACCAACATGACAAACCAGTGTTCAGACAGGTCACATGAATTATGAAACAAAGGAATTTGTTGAAACTATTAATGGCCACATGCTAGGTATTTCCTGCAGTGCAGGAAAAAAAATGTGCTATCTATGTTAAGAGAAAAATAGGTGACAAAAATATTGTCAGTTTTCTTAATGGGCACGTATTGCATACTATAAAGTACAAAAAGTATATATTTATACTTTATAGTATATCCTATAAACTAAAGCTTGGATGCAGATAGGGGGAAACAATGCTATCTCTCTGTGGTAGATTTACAAGTTATTTAAATTTTCTTCTTTACATTCTATGTTATTTTACAAATTTCTTGGAATTGATAGGCACTATGCTTATAATCACAAGTATGTTTTTACATCTGGATTTCTGTAATGAATAACTGAAGTCATTGTATGTGGACTATCACATCTGTACCTGTGGAGGCTGGATCAGTAGATATCTGTGTTCTTTTTGTTTCTAAAATTCTACAAACTGTTTTATGAAAAACAGAAGGTAATACAGAGACATATGTACATATAGACACACCAAGACACACAAAACACAAATGACAGAAAGAATAAGTTTCAGAGAAAGAGGGTATCGAGGTGTATTCTGGCAGAAATATCCTGTGGACTCACTCTCATGAGCCCTTGTTCTGGGTGTAGACATCTTAGAACCATTGTCTTTTTAAAGTGACAATGCTGATGATGAAGCAACAATTAATATGGACACAAACACAGTGCTTATTTGGTGCCAAGCACTGCATGCTATATACCCATTGCATCTTTGGTATTAAGATGACCATTTTGTATGTAAAGTTATAGGAATTAAATAAAATTCTCAAGGTCTCATGATTAGTATCCCTACCATGGTATCCCTTATACTTTCTGGACTGCTAACTAATTTTTATCTTTTATTTTATTTTTTTAGATATAAGGGTTAATTTCATCAGGGTTTTTTTCTTTTTCTTTTTTGGAAGGAGCAAAGGAATTTCCTTTGTAACCTTAGAACTGTTTATTAATTTACTAACAATACCTGAATTCCCTTTGATATTTTTAAACTCTCAGATCACCTGATCTCTTTTGAAAAGTAAAGACTAGAGTAATAAACTATGCTTGAAAGTTACACTGAACTCATTTGCTATCTGGAAGCCTTTAAAAAACTGAAGAGCAAGTTTTTTGTTGTTAATATTATGATGAAAGACTAGGAAGAAATTGTTACAATAAACAAATTAAACCTACCTATCAGCTTTTCAAGTGCTTTATCAACCCTTCACCAACTGATAAGAATAGTATAGCAACTATATAACGGTTCCACTGGGAAAAATTATTCTCAAGATTACAGTCTGCATTACCATGTTGCCATGGGTAGATTAAGCTGAGGATCTAGGCTCTATAACTCGTGTAACCAAAATGATGAAAAGAACAGAAAATTGATCTTATGAGAACAGGGTCCTATGTAATGTACCTTGCAACAGAGAAGAAATGAAACCACTCATTACTTAGGATAATGATCAGTTTTTTCCTAAATTCACTCCGGAGAAGAAAAAGGGGAAACAGAGAAGAATGGCTTAAATTCCCTGTGAGGGTGACTCCTAATAATGAGGGTTGTTAAGACCGCAGAATTTTGAAAATGATTTAAATATTTATCTAAATTCTGATTGCACAAATAGGTAACATACAGATCTCTAGGAATCTTTTTTTTCTAGCAATCATCTTATATGTCTCAGGAAAAAGTAATAGTTGTATATAATTTATACCATGCTAATCTTGGGCTAGCCTAATCTCTGGCCTAAATAAGTATGCTTCCTTTTTTCTTTCTTTCTTTCTTTCTTTCTTTCTTTCTTTCTTTCTTTCTTTCTTTCTTTCTTTCTTCTTCTTTTTTCTTTCTTCTTTCTTTCTTTCTTCTTTCTTTTCTTTCTTTCTTTCTTCTTCTTTCTTCTTCTTTCTTTCTTCTTTCTTCTTTTTTTTTTGTTTGAGAATAGAATGGGACCATATCTCTCCTTCTATAGAGAAGCTCATGTAACAGATACTATTACTTATACCTTATAAATGTGGGAACAGATGTTTAAGGAGATTTAAATTTTTCTGTTCCCCAAAAGACTTTTAATAGAACACATCAATTCCAATTTTCTTGCTGAAATGTGGCTCCATTTAAAGGCAGGGATGAGTGGATTAGAAACTCAGAACTTCCATTCTTTCTTGGCTAATTTTCTCAGGATACAACAGTGAGATCACGATCAACAGGACATCCCGGATCAATGGGATTCCGGGATGCAGCTCGCCTGAGAGAAGCTTTTCCCTAAACTTGACTCTTGTGGAATTTTTGGAGATGCATGCTGAGTCTCAACGTTGGACACAATCTGTTCCCAAAATTCATATGTTTTTTGCTAATTTACTCTATACAATTTATATTTGGGAAAGTTATTTTTCCTCAGGACATAATAGTTACTCTATTGCATTATAACAAGGGATGCAAAATTGTAATTTGGGCTCTACAGACTAAGTACAATTTTACCATGCCTGGGTTCTGAGACAATACTTACATATTAAAATACATTTGTAAAATTTTTTTTCTTTTGTACTTGGGTGGGTCTTTTTGTCCAAACAATAATATGTCAGAACATCAATGTAGATCAAGATGTCTTTTGAGGAAGCTGCAAGTAATGTTCTTTCTCAGAAGAAAAGTACCCACAAATAAACTAAAACTTGAGTTTTACTTGTGTTATAATTGATTCAAGTCATGCTTGATTTTACATCCTGAAAGAAGGAATGTGAAAAATACTTGTCCTCAAACAGGAATCAACTTGGCTCTCCCAGGACACAGCCTCTTATTTAAGAGGATGTCATTATGTGCCTGCATACACTAGTACATCCTTGCTTTTTTCACTGTCTAATTTCATTTCTGGAAAATCTGCCTTGATTTAACAGTTCCCTTGAATGCTACTTCCCAGTAATTCTCAGCTAATAAAGAGAAACTGCCATGGAAGATTAACGGCCTTCATGAAGCATTACTACCACATAGAAGCATCATTCTAAATTGCCGTTGTAAGATAACCCCTATTAACGTTTGCAGCCAATCCAAAAATTCTAACAATTTTAAAAGTCTAAATAATTTACACTCCATTTGCCTTCTGTATTTGATAGATGGCATAATTAAATAGAATTAGTTCAAGGGCAGGGATCCCTGGGTGGCGCAGCGGTTTAGCGCCTGCCTTTGGCCCAGGGCGCGATCCTGGAGACCCGGGATCAAATCCCACGTCTGGCTCCTGGTGCATGGAGCCTGCTTCTCCCTCTGCCTCTGTCTCTGCCTCCCTCTCTCTCTCTCTCTCTCTCTCTCTGTGTGACTATCATAAATAAATAAAAATTAAAAAAAAAAAACCTTCTATAAAAAAAAAAAAAAAAAAAAAAAGAATTAGTTCAAGGGAAGACCAAACATACACATGTGATAAATTAGGTCTACCGTATCGTGAAATATAAGAAGGACTTTGAATGAAAAAGGGAAAGAGATGATCTAATCTTGAGATGCATTTTATTATCATCTCTTGCTTTAAATAAGCATGCCTAGGACATAAATGAACATCTTCAGTACTCACACACCCAAGTATCCCTCAGGACTCTTCTTGAAATAGAGGTTTAAAAAACAGAAATTTTCAAATGATGCCTGTATACATGATCAAAACTACTACTAACAGTGGTTTTTGAATTTCTAATATGATGAATTTTTAATATTCTGAATTTCTAATGTGACAAACAGCTGCCCAAGTAACACATATGCCTTTATTCCACAAATGCAAACCAGACTAGATAAGTAAAAATGCTTTAATAAAAAATTATGTATCTTCTCTGGTAGATAAAGTTCCACTGAAATCTTTATTTATTACTTCAATTTATACTTTCTCTTTCACCTTCCTGTAGAATCTTATACAAACAAATAGACATAAAAATGGTACAAAGCTGCTTTTCTTGCTAATAAATTTAATCTAAACAAATAAAACTCATGCACCTATCAGTTGAATAATCTGTCATTCCTTTATGTTCTTCTTATTAATGAAAGAAATACATCTGTGCAACCAAGCTAAGTATCCCAAAGAAACCCAAATTACACATTGTTGGCTTGGCTGTTTAATTTCTCTTTACCTAAATTATTAGTTGAGGAGTAACAGAGAGATAGCAAACATCAATAAGAGTTATAAACCAAATAATATAATTTATAAGCACCATTCAGTTAAGTGATTCTGTTGTTCAAACTATCACAACTGGCTGAAATCAATCGCCTTTAAATTTACCCCCACAGCAGGCTCAGATTTTGCAATTACCCTTTTTCTACATACTGGGAATTTGCTGGATCCTGTGGACTACGACAAATGCATCAGACAGCCCCACTTTGACTGGGTGATTGGTTGAACTTATCTGTGTGACCAAGACGGGAATCTGAAAAAGAAAAAGCAGATTGTAATGTGTGAGATTTGAATTTCATTTAGGGGTGGGGGTGGGAAGCGTGATCATTCCATTGACTGAATAAAATCAGGTGATGGAGATGAAGGACCAGGGAGAGAGAGAGTGGGAAATACTAGAGAAGACAGACATACAATACCAAAACATTACATCTGTTTAGTGCTTCTGATGGGTTAAAGCAACAACAGAGTTCCCAGTCCTACAGACAGCTGTTTGAGGATGAAAGTAAACAGATTCTCAAAGAATCTAACTGATGCTGAATGCTGAAAACTCCTCACACATATAGGTACACCACGGATACATTTAGTGCTGGCTGTCATTTCAGGAATAGGGACTCTTCTTGTACCATTTGTTTCTGCAAAAAAAGTTTTTTTTTTTAAATCCTTGTTTACAATCCTTGTTTAGATCCTTACAGATCTAAAACCTAGAGAAGGACAAATAAGCACACTGCTAAATATATATTTAACAATACTGTCGTTGATTAGTAGATAGAGAAACTTGGCAAGTGTTAATGGATGCTGAGCTTCACTATTCTGGTGAAACCTATACGGAAAACTTATGAATTATTATGGTCATCTCCAGGTCACATTTCCTAAATTTAAACCTCAGTGGAACCCAAATCTGAATATGACAAACATTTTTAACATTTACAGTTTACTTTATTTTTTAAAAGATTTTATTTATTTATTCATGAAAGACAGAGAGAGGCAAAGATATAGGCAGAGGGAGAAGCAGACTCCCCATAGGATCCAGATGTGGGACTCGATTCCAGGACTTCAGGATCGCAACCTGACCCAAAGGTAGATAGATGCTCAAGCACTGAGCCACCCAGGTGCCCAACATTTACAGTTTAAAAAAAACTAAAACACGTTGAGAATATATGAAATAGTTACAAATGAGACAAACTTTTAGAGCCAATTATTCTAGATTTTGAGAAGAAACACTGGAGATATGATTACTATCTTTATTACCATTTTTTATAAACATAAAAATGGGCATGAAACCATCTGCAATAAATAAAAGGACAAGAAACGACAAGGGAAAGATAAATGTACCAACAAATCTTAAGGTGAAATAAGCAGACTGTGGGCCATCTGTGGATAATTCATTAAAGAACATATTAGATTAGACCTTGTTGTATAAACCATAATAAACAGCATAGCAATGAGAAGCAAGGAGAATAACCTGGAGAGAAGTTATAACAAGGGCTGTATGACTTATTTTTGTCCATGACATCATGAAATTATGACAGGGCTATTTTGTTAAAATTAACCAATTAAGAGGAAATTTTAATGTATCTGAAACTTATGGAATTATCTCAAAACAAGTAAATGGGAGATGACATTTGTACTCTTTTGTACTATATTAGTCAGGCCATAAACAATGTTAAGGTATTGCTGATTTTATATCAACATATCCAGTTTTTAATCAGCATTAAGAATTATTCTTATTGGTGGCCTGGGTGGCTCAGTCAGGTAAGCCTCTGACTCTTGATTTCTGCTCAGGTCATGATCTCAGGGTCGTGAAACTGAGCCCTGAGACTGGCTCACACTCAAAGAAGTATTCTGATATTGTACAGCAGAAACAAAACAAAGCCAACATTTTTGTTCCTAAAAGTTCATTTACTAAATGAAGCTCTGATATACTTTATTTAGTGATCACTAAGCCACACTCAGTATCGATATATGTAATCCTTTTCTTAGTGGACATTACACTATTACCCAGTTTTATGCACAATGTTGAGGAAGAAATGCTAATATAAGTGTAATTTATAGTTAAGGCAGACTTATACAGGTGCCTGGGTGTGGCTCAGTTGGTTAAATACCTGCCTTTGGCTGGGGTCATGATCTTGGTGTCCTGGGATCCCCGCCCCCTTTCAGGCTTCCCTCTCAGCAGGGAGCCTACTTTTCCCTCTCCTTCTGCCCCTCTCCCCACTTGTGTTCTCTCTCTTGCAAATAAATAAAAATCTTTTTTTTTTAATTTGCCAGGGCTTGATTAGCCTCTTTAAAAAATTATTTAAACTCAATTTGCCAACATATATAGGCAAATTTATAATTACTATTATATTTTTTAAGATTTTATTTATTTATTCATGAGAGATCCACAGAGAGAAGCAGAGACATGGGCATAGGAAAATGTGAGCTCCTCGTAGGGAGGCCGACTCGATGCCCAGGCCCAGGATAATGCCCTGAGCTGAAGGCAAGCGCTCATCTGCTGAGCCACTTGGGCATCCCAACAGATTTACAATTAAAGAAGACAAGAAATTAGAAAAAACATTAACAATATTTGCAGTTCAAGTTATATTTTATATATCCTAGTAAGACAAACTCACAATTGCTAAATAGCATTATTAATACATGCCTGATCAAGAGTAATAAAGCTTTGCTAACTTGTATTTGTCACTTCCCTCATTCTCCAACATCTGTGACTGCAAATTTCCTCTGCAAGGTGGAGAAATATTTTACTGATAATTCTGTAGTTAGCGATTGTGTTTCTTCTTTTCCCTTACCCAAAGCAGAACTTGAGTCTGCATTGCTATTAATTGGAAAAACCTCTTATACTGCCATGAATATTTTATTTTATTTTATTTTTATTTTTTTTATTTTAAGATTTATTTATTCACGAGAAACACACACACACACACACACACACACAGAGAGAGGGAGAGAGGCAGAGACACAGGCAGAGGGAGAAGCAGGCTCCATGCAGGGAGCCTGATCCCGGGACTCCAGGATCATGTCCTGGTCTGAAGGCAGGCGCTAAACTGCTGAGCCACCCAGGGATCCCAAATATTTTATTTTTATACAAGAGTTTATTTCTCAGGTCACATGTTTTTGTGCCTTCAGACCTTCCATGAGAATGTATGCTGTTGGTCTGCTGAAAATATAAGAGAGGCACAGGGAGAAATGTTTCCTTTCCAGCAGAGGTCATCTTTGACCAGCTAGCCTCTAGCCAATCCACCAGCTAACAGCTGGCACATGAATAAGCCCTGTTGAGATCAGCTGAGTCTAAATCAGATCAATAGAACTGGAAAGTTGATCCATAGATATCTTGTGAGACATAAGAAATAGAGTTGTTTTAAGGAACTGCATTTCGGGGTGATTCGTTACACAGCAATACAAACCAATACATTTTCTATTAGAGACCTAAGAGCAAATACAAACTTCTCTGGATATTTCTACATAAAATGAAGAATGATTCTTCCTCCTAGGTTTCATGGAATCAGATAAATATCTCTTTGCTTCTAGGTACAATTAAACTTGAAAGATAGGAACGTTCCAGCAGAAAAGTTTCATTTTCTGCATCTTGCTTTCACTATTCTATATCTCTTCATTTTCTAGTTGATTCTTTTTCCTCTGGATTCCAAAAAATGAAGACCAATGTGTCTATGTTACCTAGACACAGACTCATTTACCCAAAGGAAAATCCATCCAAAGCCAAAATGGGTAGGCTAACAATGTAGACAGTTTTCTGTCACTGAAAAAAAAATGCCATCATCAATTGGCCAATCCTTTAGGAAGAGAGTTGTAGATGATCTGTAAGAACTCTTTTAGGCCTCTGTTCAGTGGTTTCACTCTATAGAATGATCTTGACTTTTCTAAGCTTCAACAAGTAAACTGTTAACAAGGTGAAACACTCTATTTATAAAGAGAACTGAGGTAGGTAGACATCATTGTCTGCTTCTAAGAGAAACAGTTAACTTGTTGCCAGTTTTCTAAGTTATACTTATTCATAGGACAGTGACTTTTGAGGACTGTGTCTGACAAACCACTACTGCCATAAATATCTCTATTATGAATCTTGATATACTGTGGAAATATAAAGTAGAAAATAAATTTCTGAGACTATTATCTACTATATAAAAAGTACTTTCCCCAAAAGGCATATATACTCTCAATGCTATTGGATAAAATAGAATTCATTCGTCTATTAGATATTAACTAAATATCTGTGTATTATTGTAGGGATTATAGAAGAGAACAGGACAAAGACCCTTCTCTCATTAACCCTATATTCTAGAGGGCAGAGATTGACATGAAAACAAGTACATGTAAAAAGCAGAGTATGCTGGGAAGTGGTAAGTGCTAAGGAGGAAACTAAGGTGTGGGAAAGAGAGAGAAGGGGGTCAGGGGGGTCTCCTTAAGAGAAGGAGTCACAGGAAATTTCTGTGATGAGAGGACTTTTCGGTAGTCGTGAGCCTGCCATGTGGATATTTGAGGAGAACTCTGAGTTAGAAGGACTGGTACAGGCAAAGGCTTTGACTCATATGCTTTCAGTATCTTTCAGAATTTAAAGGTTGTCACTGGAGCAGGAGGAGTAAATAAGATTGTCAAAGGAGATGAGGTGGTGGAAGCAGGTCATAGGGGGCAGGCATTCCCCACAAACCATGTCAATGACTCTGAATTTTATTTCATGTTGTACAGTGAAGGTTTAGAGGGTTTTGAAGAGAGGAAGGATGTTCTCTTACATCAAAAAGATTGCACTGGCTCCTGTGTGATCAAGACTATAGGGGGCCAGGGGAGACAGGGAAACTAATTAGGAAGGTATCACAGTTGTCTGGATAGAGATGAGTGGCTTGGACTGCATTAGAGTGATACATGCAGGAGGTGGAAGTGTTGGAAAGATGGATTCCAGATGAAATGGGAAGGCACTGCTATCAAGACGTGCTGTGGATTTGAGGAGAGTGGGAGAAAGAGGAGTGTCAATGATATCACCACAGCCTTGGTCTGAATAGAATGAATGGAGTTGAACTTTTCATCAAGGTCACTGTGTTGTACACCTGCAGGGGTGCTTTCACATTGCAGGCCATAGGAAAGGCGTTATCTGCTTGTGCAGAGGGCCATCTGGGCAACACCAAAGAAGAGCACTAAAATGTCCAGAGATGGACAAGATGAATAGTGGAATATTTGGAAAAGGATGATTTTATGGCAATGCTCCTGGTGTCAAATGCTTTTAAAATTTTATAGAGTTCATAA